ATATTAATTAATTCATTTTCCTTAGCCCTTTGTCTATTAGGAGTCGCCACAGCGTAATTAACCGCCAACTATTCCAGCATGTGTTTCACGCAGCGGATGGCCTTCCAGTTGCAACCCAACACCCATAGAGAGAACATGCAAACACCACACAAGAATGCCAACTGGTCCAGTCTTCGACCTTTTTGCTGCGACAGTACTAACCACTGAGCCATTGTGCAGCCCTAGACAACACAATGCAAAACTTCTAAAGATTTAGGAAATCAATAATAGGTGGGATTAGGCATGGGATGATAACCAGTTATACCGTTCCTAAATTACATATAAAGTTTTTTTAATGTGTTTTTTATGTGTTGTAAAAAAATCTGTAAAACTAATGAAGGCAGCAGACGTCAATGATTAATTTGAATTATTCAGCTTGACATGTTTACTGTCTCAAAATAGTATAAATGTTTCCTAAAATAAAATTTATTGTATGCAATAGGGGAAATGTTGTTTTTTGTTGCTCATAAGTTTTGAATCAAACAAAATTGGCATTTTTTCAGGCTTTCCAAGCTAATCACAAGCACACTCGAAAGAAACAAGATCACGACACAAACCTTATTTAAGGCAATTCTACACATCATCATCTTCTGGATAATGATCATCTGATCATGCTGGTCTTCTGAAGTTATTCACAACTTGGTCTTGATGGCAAATTTTTTATCCAGAAATGACAGCAACTCTATGTTTACAAGTTTGTGGCCCTTTGAGTAGTTGCTGTCATTTGATGTGCGTTTGACAGGACAGACTGCACCTCGCGTTCGTTTCATACAGATTACAAAACCAAACAACTTTTGTTGTCAAGTGTAGTTAGTTAATGTAAAAGTACAGATTTCTAACTTTATTTGGATATATTTCTTATGTCTGTGAAGCAAGTATTCGCTGAGATTCCGGTGTAATTGTTGACCCCCAAACTGTCATAAAAGCAGCCGTCTGATCCGAGCTTCTCCCCAAGGGAAACGCAAGTCTACAGTGATCGATGATTGGCTCCCGTATTAGTAGGTGGGGCTTAATTTGCCATATTGACCGTTACCTATTTCTCCATTCAAAACTATACAAGTGACAAGTCTTGTGTTATAGTCTTTAAGTCATGTTATAGTCTTTAATTATACAGACTAATAGTCATTTAAGAAGGCGCAAACCCATCCAACTAAAAATATATAACGATAAATAATGTAATAAATGAGTGAATATATTTTAAAACGTTTGTTTACTCCGTAAACTAATGACATTTTGAAATGTCAAATAAAATGTTAAGAAATATGCCATGTTTTCAGGTTTTATTTATGTTTAAACAACACAATACCACAGTTTTACATTTATAAGGGTTAAGAAATCAATATTTGTTGAAATGACACTGATTATCAATCACAACAAATCAAAACGTGTTATTCCTACCAATTATCAAAAATACTTCTAAATAAATACATGACAATATTTTTATTTGAAATTTTGATAAATGTTAGCAGACCTTTACAAATATTAAGTTGTACACTAAACAAATGCTAATTATTTTACCAAACCAAGTCAAACAATTCATTTAAAAACAAGCCAGCTAATAAATTTATAATTATGTTAATGATATAGTACCATTACAGAAGAAAACACTAATAATCTCTGTGACAAATATGCTCTATATATTCTGATGCTTTGATGCAACACCTTCTGAAGACTGAGAGTGAACGCTTTATCCATCTCAGATTAACCTACATCTTTCAGTTAGGCTTATCAGGTGAGCTTGCACTTGTCATTTTTTCTAGTTAGGATGCATGCTGTTTCCTAGATTGCTGCAACTATAAATTGCTCTATGGTTTTGGCAATCACAGAAAACATAAAAGAAGACATAAACAACATAACTACCTGGAGCATGGACACAGATTCAGGTCTAAACTCACACATAACATCTCTAGCAGACTGTCAAACCATTTAATTCAGTTAAAGAGATCAGTCTTACTCATCAGGACTGAATCTGGCACCTTCACAAGTCTGATATCATTGGCCAGTCAGCGTAATTTGAACATACCCACATCTGCCCGGCCAGCAAACTTCCCAAATACAGCAGAATTCAGCAGGCATTTGTGTTACATAAGCATTTGATTTTCCTGTCCGATAAAAAGTATCTGATCTAATTACCTGCTTGACATTTGGCACTATACGCTTTCATACACAAAAAGGGCAAGACTCAAGAGACTTGTATTTTACTTCCAATCAGGGGAATAAAAGTGGATTGTTGTGTATAAACTGCATTTGATAACGGTAAAAATGATTATGATAAATATATGCAACTAATTGACACTACTAAATGTAAATCTTTATACGTAAAAGAAGCAGAAACCTACAGAAGTGTATCTTGGAAAATGCACTTCACACTAATGCACCAGCTAAATAAAAAAAATGCTCAAAAAAAACCTAATTTGTCCACTGTCAAAACCCTTGATTGGGTGATGTAAGAATTGAGACATTCATCCCAATAATTATACTTATAACTGGCAAGTCAGATTAACTCCCTAAGGAGAAACAGAGATGGAAGCCAAATCCAAAAGCCTCAGGCTAAAGAACTTAAATGAGATAATGGCAGAAAATTAAATTTTACTCCTTCTGTCTGAGAAATCTCTCTCTAAATTAATTATTATAGAACAAAAGAGAAAAGAGAGATCTATATTCAAAGTACTACACTGTTTTGTGTTTCATATGCAGTGATATGCTAAAAATGTCATTTTCAAAGGAGTTAACTTTCAATGATGATGACTTTAAGGAGGATTTTAAAAACATTTGACAAAAATAGAGGTTTTACTTAGGTGTCTGCTTCCAATTGAATTTACAAAATAATTTTATAAATCTTCAAAGCATATAAATTGCAATTTAAGGACCTATTTTTTATGTAAAACGAAACAACACTTATTCTGACGTGAATTTACTTAAATTGAGGTAAAGTTGATTTTATATTTTCACTTTTAGACTTTCTACTTATCATTTCGGAAAAGTATAACTAGGCATGAGACGATTACCGTTTTCAAGGTATAGCGGGGTTTGGAAAAATCAAGGTTTTAAAACTTTTCTGGTTTAGATAATTTTCTGCAATACCGTTCCTAAGGTATGTGTACAATTTTTCTTTTTTTTTTATGACAACAGTATCTCCAGCAGAAAAGATATCCAAAGCTGCTGTTTTAAATTGTAAAAAAAAATAAAAAAAAAAAAAAAAATCACAAAAACAAATGAAGACAGCAAAAGTTAATAATTAATTTAGCCTGACATGTTTACTGTTCCAAAAAAATATTTTAAATGTTTCTCAAAATGAAATATACTGTGTTCAAAGGGGAAAAAGTTCTTGTTTTTAATCCAGACATTTAAAAAGAACTTATTTTATAGCAGTAATCACAATACCGTGAAACCGTGATATTTTGATCCATTGTTATCGTACCGTCAGAATCTTATACCGGCCCATGCCTAGTTCTAACTAGGGAAATCATAATAGCAGCCAAAGACGGCACGGCGGTGCAGTGGTTAACATGTCGCCTCAAAATATAGCAAAAAGATTGCTGGTTTGAATCTCAGGTGGGTCAGTTGGCATGTCTGTGTGGAGTTTCAATTTCTCCCCATATTGGTGTGAGTTTCCTCCGGGTAAAACATATGCTGATAAGTTGGCGGTTCATTCCGCTGCGGTCACCCCAGATGAATTAAGTGACTAAGCCGACGGAAAATGAATGAATGTATAATAGCAGCCAATGACTATCAAAGTAGAACATTGCTAATGTTGTTTACAGTCATTTTAACTTCAAAGACACTAGGAAATGCACTTGCCACTTTATACGCATGGACATTAAATTGTATGCCTTTCTGACCAACATTTTATTCACTTTTAAACTTAAAAGCTGCTAGAAAATGCACTTGCCACTTTATACGCACTTCTATTGTATTGTGACTACCTTTATCATTGTTGCCATTTTACCTTTTTATCTCTAATTACTGTTGTTTTAGACAAGCAGGACTGGGCTGAAGGGAAGGGCAAACGTAAATTTTGACAAGTTTTGGACAATGACAATTAAGATTCTGATTCTAAATGCAAATTTAGACCTAATATTCAAATTAGCAAGAAAAACAATATAAGGACCTTTAAATGAAGGAATGCGTGAATATAGAACCGACTTTACCTCAATCTTACTTAAATATGTGCTGTTATGTTATATTGAGGCATTTTAGTCAACATATTGGGCATTTTAGTCAACATCTGCCATATTTCATGGTAAAAACACATAAGTTATTTTTTCTCAGAAAAAAAGCTATCAGGATGCAATTTGATGCATGAAAAAATATTCATTTTAAACGTTGATTATTTCTTATTTTTATTCCATTTTTTATTATTTTAATGTCTGAAATACCCATTTACTTCAATTCATCCTCGTTAAATGTAATCATGGGAGCATTGTGTATTAAAAACAGCATACAAACATGCCTAAATGATGAATCTAGACAGTAAGTATGCATGATCTCACACAAATACAAGGCCAAAGAGCAGGTCCCTATTGTTGGCCTCATGACTGAAGGTGCTTATGGATGAATCCATCACATGGCCCTATTGTTTACAACGGCACGATGGTCTCCACGGCACAACCGGTATTTCGGACAGCAAACGGTCTGTAAACGGTAATGCAATGAATAAAGGTCCAGGAACCACGAGATGCTAATATAATAAAAGCAAACGTAGAAAGTATAAATTAAATTCTCGTGTTTTAAGACATCCTCGGATAAAGCGCCTAAAAATAATGCATGTGAGGCTAGAACTGAGGTGTGTGGGCGTCCGTACATGTTTCTAAATATAAAATGGCTTCCGTTAATCATAAAAACAACGTTTATGTTTTGGATGTCAGAGTAATGCAGATGTAAATAACCCGTCTCAGATGCCAGGCTTCATGCTGCGCCATTTACTGCGCATTTACTTCTCGCGTAAACATCCCGGTTACCTGGATTGCTCGGCTGATATAATTTCACATTCCCGTCCTTCCGGATCCTCACATCTCCAGGACCCGCAATCCGTCCAGGTGGACTCACGCCTGTCTCTTTCCGCCTGTGTTTTTGCGTTAACCACCTGCAGCACTGATAACACACGGCCCAGGCTTGCTCCTCGTTGATCGGTTGACTGTACAGTGTTAAAATCTCCTCCAAGCACAATTCCTCTTCCCCGTCCGTACAATCCATAGCGATGTCTTCAGGTCGCGCTCCATCTCCGGGATCCTGGAGAGCCGACGGTGAGATTAACATTCCTCCGTCAGTCATTCTTGGTCTCCGGGCTTCCCGAGAGCGGGACTGACTGTGCGTTTGGGTGAAAAAGAGACAGAAACAGTATGTTTACGTTAGTTCTGTCATCGAGAAACACCGTATGCGTGTCCACCTCTGCCGCCTGTGTGTCGATACTTCTGACTGAGCGCGGACTGTGAGCGGTTGCTGCTGCTGCTGTTGGACTGCCGGAGGCGCTCATATGACTTTTCCGCATGGTCTCAGAGTCAGTCAGTCCTCTGCCATGGAATTAAAACCACGATTAAATGATTTTTTTTTTTATTAATTTAAAATTCTTATCAATTTAAAAAGTAAGTAAAATTGAAACTAGTAAGGAACATAGAATAATATACAGTGCACACCCCATAAGTAAACACACCCCGTTTTAAAAAAAGAATATTTTTATTAATTCATTTTCCTTATTCATCAGGGATCATCACAGCGCAATGAACCGCCAATTTATCCTGCATATGTTTTACACAGCGTATGCACTTCCAGCTGCAACACAGTACTGGGAAACACCCATGCACTCTTTCACACACGTACACTATGGCTAATTTAGTTTATTCAATTCAGCTTTAGCCAGGGCTCAACAATAAGGACTGCCCGATGGCCCGGGGCAAGCGTGTGAGATGCTCTGGACAGTAGACAGGATCGTTACTGGCCCGATAGGGCCTCTAATGCCCTGTCACTAAAGTTTAATTTGCCTGTGACTATTTGTCAATTGCGTGCAAATACAGTCAGAATAGAGAAACCTGTGTTTTTAAGCCTTCAAATGCTACCTTCTCGGTTCCTCTTATCTGATTAGATGTTGTGAGCATGTTATTTTTTTCCGTAACAATCAGTACAGCTAAGAGACAGCAACATGGCGGCAACATCAAGTAATCATGCTAAAGGAAAACATTTGTCTCTAACGTCTTGGAAGCAGACATTTACGAGGGTATACCACGACTAAAAAAATGAAGTGATGTTTTGTACAGTTTGCTGTTAGTTTGGCAGGTCAGTCATCTTTTGGTTTTGCAAAAAAATACCTGCACATTTTGCTATTTTGTTTGCAAAACAACTATTTTGAAATATTTAAATTCTAGATTTACAAACAATTTGACTTTTTTTTTATTTGTGGCTTAGAAATAGCTATTCACTTTTTTTGGTGGGGCCAGTGACAATATTGGCAGGGCAAGTAAAAATCTGAACCACTGGTCCGATTGGGCCAGTAGAAAAAAATCCTTAGCGTTGAACCCTGCCTTTAGCGCATGTCTTTGGACTGTGGGGAAAACTCAAACACGGGGAGAACAAGCCAACTGACCCAGCCAGGACTCGAACCAGCGACCTTCTTGCTATGAGACGACAGTGCTAACCACTGAGCCATCATGTCACCCATATGCTTATCCATTTGGGTAATATATTTTGGTGCATTTGAGCAAAACAGATTTATCAAACAGTTAAGTTTATTAAAAATAATATTTTAGTCACCAAACATCTTTAGAAATAGAAAGTTGATGCATTTAAATCCATGCGAAATATTGCAAAAAAAAATTACAAACTACAAAATTTAAGTTTGGGCGTCATGAAGGCGCAGTGGGTAGCACAATCGCCTCATAGCAAGAAGGTCGCTGGTTCGAGCCTCGGATGCTCTGGTTTCCCCCACCGTCTAGACATGCGGTGCAGGAGAAAAGAGTACGCTAAATTGGCCGTAGTGTGTGTGAAGAGTGTGTGTATGAAGAGTGTGTGTATGGGTGTTTCCACTGTTCAGTGTGAGGTTGAAGATGAAAGGGCATCTGTTGCGTAAAACTTGCTGGATAAGTTGGCGATCCATTCCAATGTGGCGACCCCTGATTATTAAAGGGACTAAGCCGAAAAGAAAATAAATGAATCAGTGAAAATTTCAATTTCAATTTTGAAGAGGAAAAGAACTGAAATCCCATGAAGCAATGTAAAAGCTGTTGAGTGTAATGTAAATATATATATATATATATATATTTATATATATATAGGTGAAGTCAGAATTATTAGCCCCCCTGAATTATTAGCGCCCTTGTTTATTTTTTTCCCCATTTTCTGTTTAATGGAGGGAAGATTGTTTCAGCACATTTCCAAGCATAATAATTTTAAAAACTTATTTCTAACAACTGATTTATTTTATCTTTGCCATGATGACAGTAAATAATATTTTATTTGATATTTTTCAAGACACTTCTATACAGCTTAAAGTGACATTTAAAGGCTTAACTAGGTTAATAAGGTGAAATAGGCAGGTTAGTAATTAGTCAAGTTATTGTATAGCGATGGTTTGTTCTGTAGATTATTATAAAAAAAAATTTGATTTTTTTTACTTTGATTTTGATTTTTACGTCTGATAATAATTTTCCTTCTGGAGAAAGTCTAATTTGTTTTAGTTTGGCTTTGATAAAAGCAGTTTTTAATTTTTTAAAAAACATTTTAAGGTCAATATTATTAGCCCCTTACTGTCATCATGGCAAAGATAAAATAAATCAGTTATTAAAACTATTATGTTTAGAAATGTGTTGAAAAAAATCTTCTCTCCGTTAAACAGAAATTGGGGGAAAAAATAAACAGAGTGCTAATAACTCAGGGGGGCTAATAATTCTGACTTCAACTGTGTATATGTATATATATTCATTCATTTTCCTTTGGCTTACTCCCTGATTAATCAGGTGTTGCCACAGCAGAATAAACCTCCCATTACTCTGGCATATGTTTTGAATGAATGTCCTTCCAGCTACAACCCAGTACCATCTCGAGAAACACCCATACACTCTTATTCACACACACACACTCATACACTATACGGCCAATTTAGTTCATCCAATTCACTTAGTAGTTTTTAAAAACTATTAATAGAGGTTTTTACATTGCGCCATTTTGCTATAAATTACATAAACTCAAAACTGTGAAAAATAAAATACTCAGGGAGAATTACTATTTGCAATTGCAAAGTTTATAACTTTAAATTTAAACTTGCAGAAAAATATGAATAGTGAGATTAATTTATTGCTCCAAAAAAAGACAAGAAGAATGTAAAAACACAATCCACTTTTAGAATTGTTTATTCTTTCACAGCTTCCATGCTGTTCATTGACAACACAAACAACTAGTGATCATCTCAGTCATCTTAAATGTTGTTGTTTTTGTTTTGTTTTTTGCAATATAATAAATAATGGACATAGTTAATCCAGTACAATTATATTAGACATTTAAAAGTAAATGCAAAGCCCTTTAACCAATGGTTTGTTTGCCTGAGCAAAAGCAAAATAATAATGCTGAAAAGAAAACGTTATGGTAAATCTTAACCTCAGTTTAGATGAAAATTTTATTCAAATTCTGACTGTAACATTTAAATTTTATCCCACAATGTAAAATTGTAAATTGAATGCAAATTGTGAGGCCAGTGGGCTGTGCCAGCAAAAAGAAAGAGGAATAAACCAACAGGCTTTGCACAAGCAGCCTGTTCCAAATACAGACTGGGATTTAGATTTCAATTAAACCTGATTCATAGATAATTACTGCATTCCCTTTCATAAAACTTTAACTAAACTAAAGCATAAACTAAATTGCAGAATCCACATCCATATAACATGACACAAATTAGGTAAACCTATTTTCTTTTTAGTTATTGGTTTCATAGATTTCACGTGAAGACTGCAAACAAATAATGAAAATTAATTTGCTAATAAGACTGATTTCTAATTAGATTTTCACTCATGCTCATGAACTGTTAATTATCAAATAATGTAATGCAATCAAACAACGTGACTTGTTTAATTTTAACACATAACATAAGCATGAGATTTCAAAAAACGAACTATACAATATTAATAATAAAAATAATTTGAAAAATGAAAAATAGTTTAAAACTGATTTCATATTTAGTGCATAAAACTAAGCATATCGCTATCCCTTAGAGCATAGGAGTCAAACTCAGTTCCAAAAGGGCCGCAGCTCTGCACAGTTTAGTTCCAACCCTAATTAAACACACCTTATCAAACTTATTGAGTCCTTCAGGCTTGTTTGAAACCTACAGGTAAGTGTGTTGGAGCAGGGTTGGAACTAAACTGTGCAGGGCTTCGGCCCTTCAGGAATTGAGTTTGACACCCCTGCCTTAGAGAGATGGCTGTAACACTTTCCACTTTCAAAATAAATGTATTGTATTACGTTGTGGGAATTTAGATGTTTGTAATGCTATTTGCTGTTTTAAATGTGCAATATGTTAACTATTTTGAATTTCATTTGATTAAAGGATGGCATAAAGATGATTTTGAAGTGATAAAGTTATAGGAAAATCTGAGAAAAGAACGCTAGAACTCAACCCATAATGTTACGTACTTTATAGGGATAAGTTCAATATGTCTAATCAGCTTGCTTGTGTTTGTATTTCTGTCCGTAAACCTTGTCAATACTTTGGTAATGCAAAATATGGATCTGAAAATAAATCCTGCATTCAATGTCTAATTTTTAAAACATGTTGTCCTTTATGTTTATCCACAGCAGAATTTTAAACTGTTTATGCAATTTAAGATGAACTGCTCCATCTAGTGGTACCAGTAATTCTGCAGCACTTGATGGTACAAAACTCTTTTTTAGGCCTTATTTTCTTAGGAATGCAAATGATTTATAATATGTAAGGAATAATCCATGATGGGCTGTTGAAATATTAATAAATAATGCATATCCATAGTGGTGTTACATCTCAGGTGTGCCTTATTTTCTGGGTCAATTACAGTTTGACTATTAGAACACCTAAATACTTTCTATGATGTATTTCTGCATAAGACTGTTCTTTTTGTACATCTAAAGTATTTGTTTTGTTGTGGCTTGATTAAAATTATTGCACACATTAGAACGTTCATCAGCCAGTCAGTATCAATCATTCAACAGGGCCCCATAGTATAGAAAAATTAATGGTCTCTGATACTGAATTTTTTTAATATTTCCCAAATGATGTTTAACAGAGCAATGAAAATTTCACAGTATGTCTGATAATATCAGATATTAGGACATTAAGTCTTATTTGTTTTATTTTGGCTAGAATAAAAGCAGTTTTTAATTTTTTTAAAAACTATTTTAAGGTCAAAATTATTTGCCCCTTTAAGCTATATTTTTTCCCAGATAGCCAACAGA